CATAGTACTCCATTGTGTGTATGTACCATAGTTTGTTTATCCATTCATCTGTTGATGGGCATCTAGGTTGTTTCCATCGTTTTGCTACTGTGAACCATCTTCGCTTTTTAACACTTTAAAGAGGTCTTTTGCAGCAGATTTGTCCAATGCAATACATCATTTGATTTCTTGACTGCTGCTTCCATGAGTGCTGATTGTGGATCCAAGTAAAAGGAAATCCTTGACAACTTCAATCTTTTCTCCACTTATCACGATGTGGCTTATTGATCCAGTTGTGAGGATTTTTATTTTCTTTATACTGAAGTGTAATCCATACTGAAGGTTGTAGTTTTTGATCTTCAGCAGCAAGTGCTTCAAGTCCTCTTCACTTTCAGCAAGCAAGGCTGTGTCATCTGCATACTGCAGGTTGTTACTGAGTCTTCCTCCAACCCTGATGCCACGTTCTTCTTCAAATAGTTCAGCTTTTCGGATTATTCGCTCAGTGTAAACATTGAATAAGTATAGTGAAAGGATACAACCCTGACGCATACCATTCCTAATTTTAAGCCACACAGTATCCCCTGGTTCTGTTCGAATGGCTGCTTCTTGCTTTGTGTACAGGCTCCATATGAGCACAATTAAGTGTTCTGGAATTCCCATTCTTCATAATGTTATCCGTAATTTGTTAGGATCTACACAGTCATATGCTTCCCATAGTCAATAAAACACAGGTAAACATCTTTCTGGTATTCTCTTCTTTCGGTCAAGACCTATCTGACATCAGCAATGACATACATCCCTGGTTCCACGTCCTCTCTGAATCCGGCTAGAATTTCTGGCAGTTCCCCTGTCGATGTACTGCTGCAATCATTTTTGAATTATCTTCAACAAAATTTTACTTGCATGTGATATTAATAATATTGGAGATCATTACAATGAAATCATTATAACTCTATAATTTATTTAAATGATAATCACTATATTCAAGACATTTTCCTAACCTTTTCCTTGAGAACATCAATATTTTTACCCTATGAATAATCAGTTTGTGTGCTTTTATCCAAAGCTAAAAATCACTTTTCATAAATGCAAATATATATAATGAAACAAATTATTTCACTTAAAATGAACTGATTATTCTTAAATTACAAATATGCAACCCTAATCAATTTTATAATAGAAACTTATCACAAGTAAAACAATTCTAAGAGAAGCATGATTAATAGGGAATTAACAAAAATTAAAATTTAATACATTAAAAAAGGTGTTGATATTAATTTTATATTTCAAAAGCTAAATATTTAAAGGTTATGAATCTAATGTTTAGTTTATTCTTGCCTATGCAAAACATTTCTATGTTCTATTTTGAGGAAAATACTGTATTTTTAAAATAGTAAAAAAAAAGATCTCTATACATATATAAGTGTGTGTGTGTGTGTGTGTGTGTGTATACACATATATATATATACACACACATACATATACACAGTTAACTTTTAGCCAGTTTCTAGTACCTAGCCTAAATGAATTTAACTAAATTGCACATTACAATTACCCTATTTAAACTGTCAACTTTTACTAAAAGTTTATATGCAACAATAGTTCTGGATTAGATAACTGTTTTAAAATACCTTACTTAAAAATAAATTAACCTGTTTCTCTATACTGTTGATAGAAAATAAAATACAAAACATAAAACGTAAGTAGAACAACTTTTATTCACACAGTCTCCAAAGTCAGGACATAACATAACTACTATAGTTTCTATGAAGTAAGAGTTGTTAGAAAAGTGAGATAGTGACTTGAAAGAAAAAACACAGACAGGAACAAGAAAAACAGAAAAATTGACTTTATTTCATAGTTTACAGAGGAGGCTTAAAATCTATCTACTCATGGAAATTATAGCTATATCACTCAAATCAAAACATATTCCAAAGCGTTAAAAATAGACTAAAATATCTCAAAGACAGGAGAGATAGTAAACCTCTTACAAGAAGGAAGTGACTTAAAATATGGCATGGCTGACTTTTTGTTAAAGGTATTATGCCATTATGGTCTTCTCAGCAATTGTTCACTTTTCTTTAAAGTTGTTCTAGAGTTTTTTTGGTTACTCTCATTCTAGAACCATATCTTTCTATGTCAAAGTCCCCCCATAAAACATGGGATGCTTATCTACTTAGATCTTTATTTTCCCATATTGTAGAAAAAGATTTAAGAAAAACTACATAAAACCTAAAGCGCTGTTCATTAGAGAAGGAGTTGCTGTGGTGTTCTATTCTTATCCACAAACTCTGGGGCAGAAACTTTTTTCCCATGAGTTTGATACAAAGAGCAAAAGTACTGTGTTAATGGGAAAAATCTATGTAACAAAGGAATATAAATTCATCTGTAAGGAGACTCTAATTTCTAACATTATGGATTATTTCTCACCCTTACCACATACAGAATTCCTACTGACTTCAAAGGAACTTCTGAGCAGCAAGTTGAAAAGAAAAATAGATAGGTCCAAAAATTTTCCAGAGATCAAAAGTAAATAAAAATGCTCATCCTTTTTGATGTGTAGCACCATTCTCTCATTCATCAGAGAAACTTTAAAGACAGGACTAATAGGAGAAAGGGGAAAAGAGACACAAACAAGAAACTGAAGATCTTACAACATGAAACATTAAGAGGCTAGTAGAAGACTAAAAAGGTGGAAGGGGCTAGATAAGAAATAACAAGAGGTAGAAGAGAAAACATGCTAAACTCTATTACTAAGTAGACTAGTCATGTTCTAATGCCAGCTCTGCTACTGTGCCTTTGTAGGACCTTGGGGAACAGTCTCCTTTCATTCCCTTTGTCTATAAAATCCGAGCGGAAGAAGGTAAGTTGGAGTCGTGCTTCTCCAACTGTAATGAGCAGAAGAATCACCTAGAG